ATTGAATCCATAACCAGTTTCTGGCTCATCAGATTGATGAGACTTGTAGAATTATCATCAAGACGTTAACTGTTAGGGATACATCATTCCCCCCCCCCTCCCCCTCCCTTCCTACTAGAAATGCTTTTTGATAGTGAATAGGGGTGAATTTGGTAAATAACTAAATTTGTAATACCCCCTATTAAAAAGTATCAAACAGTAGAAATAATCTCCTCCTGTAAAGCCAAATTTTCTAGTTTCTTACAAATCTTCGAAAATATATTATCTCGCCCCTGTCAGCTTGTTGAGTTTTAATATTGATATCGATAACAATTTGATATTAAGACACAAATTGAGCATAAATGAAAAGATTGTAATTCTTTAACTCGAGCTTTTTAATTGCTGATCTTTGTTTTCTGTTTTTATTCATAAATTATGCAATGTCTGGAAAATACCACATGGAGGTGGTATTCAAACCAGGCAGTCAAATCAAGTAAACTTGAAAGTTCCAGCTCTAAAGACTGAAATATACCGAAATTTGTTTAGCACAAGCTTATGCGAAGAAAAAAGAAAAAACGTATCCTTGAATTATTGATAGGAATTTGAATTGTCAATCTAATTTTTTATTCCTTTTTCAATTTCATAATTCAAGCTGCATGAAATACTAAAACCTCTGGTTTAGTCAGACCTTGTTATTAAACTACTTATTTTTACTCAATATACATTATACAGTACTGAGTACACCCCCTTTCTAAGCCTTAAAAATATTATTTTATTTTCTAAAGAAAAATAAATATTATTCTCTAGAAAGGAATTTATTTTTTTCCATCTTCAAAGAGAAAATTAATTGTTATGATTAATATATTTTCTGTCTGATCAATTTTTTTTTCTCTTCAATGTCTGATAATGGATTTGATATCGGAACAAATTACAGTATTATTGATTTTCCGCAAAAATTTAAATCTGAAAAAATAAGTTTTCCATTTTTGATAAAAAGATATTGAAATGTTTCATAAAACTATATTAAAAGTAATTATTATATTAACATAAGGAAAAACATTAAGGAAAAACATTTAAGCTTGACTTCTATTAAAGAGAGTTTCAACGTGTCAACAAATTAAATTTGCTGGAACAAATTTGAGCCAGTTTCTTCTCATCTGGTGCCATAGAACTCTGCTCGTCAATTCCTAATTTATTGATTACAGAAAAAAAATTGCCCGTGATCATTTGAAGATAGCTGCAATCAATCAATGATTACTCATTTAAAGGGACTGTAAGCGTAATTTCAAGTGACCTTCCATTTATAAATAGGCATGTCTGAAGTCTTTAAGTCTTTTGTCCGAACAACGATGAGGTAGATACCTTCGTTTGTATAGCTGAAGATTGAGTGCAGGGAGACTCGAGGTTACAGTGTACATTGTTATAGAGATGTCAACGATAGTGTAACGTAACGTAAAATGTACGTTTTTGTACGTTACGTCACAATAATGTGTAACGTTTGGATATATTCTATATAACGTGAACGTTAAACGTTAACGTTATAGGAGCTCATACCTAACGTTAAACGTTAACGTTAGAGGAACATACCCCCAACGTTAGCGTTTTGTGGAAATGTAACGTTATTTTTCTAATATCTACAACTTTTTTGAACATAACGTAAAGAAATGTTTTGTTTCCAAAGGGAGCTTGAAAGTCTAACGTTTGAAAAATGAATTGTGATTTGATTGAATATCGTAACGAAAGGATTTCTATTTCAAAGTTCAACTTATAAAAAGTGTAACGTTGTATAACTGAAAAATGCATTACTGTTTATGAAAACGTTTTGAAACGTTTTCCCTTATAATATAATAAAAAATTCAACGTTGCAGAAATGGGTTATTATTTTAATAATCAGGAAACGAAAGTTTTTTACAGAGTAAAATTTCAATAATGTAATGTATAACATTTAAAAAAATGTAATTCTGTAAATCAAAATGTTTCATAACTTTTCTCTGAATACTAAATTGATTAGTCTAACGTTAGATATATGTCTGATGAAAATGTTGTTCATAAAACGCTAGACTATGAGGGCTGAGTTTTAATTTTAAAAACGTAACAATAATTCTGCCAATCAAAACATTTCAAAACGTTTCTAATATATCAATGTAAGAGATTCAACTGATGATAATAAGAGCAAAGACTTATGGTTTTTCATTTCAAGTTTAAAGAAAATGAGTTTATGCCAAAAACTCTAATTTTCATTTAATATATCTTTGCAACCCGATGTCGCAGACCATTAATATTGAAATTTACAAGGTTTAAACCATCGGGTTTGAAAGATATAGGGATTAGTAAATTTGAAAAAAAAACTTAATTCCATTCTAAAGTGTAAACGAGTTTTTTTTGTAACATGCTATTTGTGAAAATTCAAATCTTATAAATGTTTCTTGGACATCAAAGGTTTGATTTGCCATTGTTTGAGGAAACCCACTTAAACTCTGGAAAAGGAAGACGACATGAAGAAATTTTACATATGCATTTTCTGTTTTAAAGAAAATGATTTACTAATTGCAAAAAATAAACTTTTAAGTGGAACGGGTCTGTGAACAAACACAATTGCTGGGTTTCATGTTTATTTGACTACTTGAAATCATAACTTCAGTTGGCATGGTTCATGTTTTAGGCTGAAAAATTTAGAAATGTAGATACTAAAATGCAACAATATTTTATCAAATTGAAAATGTGTGTTATGTTTTATTCATCAATAGATTTTTATGAAACTTTAAAAAAGAAAAAAAAAGATTTTTAATTAAAAAAGAAAAAAATGTTATATAATTTTACTTCGCGCTGTTTGTGTTAAAAAAATTTAGCACTTGTCTTCCTATATTTGATATTTTTTAACCCCAAACATGAACTCTGAAAACATTTTCATTGTGGTTTGTAAACTAAAGCTAATGCCGCTTTTTTACTCACGTTGTAAGTAACATAAAAAAAAACACAAAAAGAACTAAAAATTCGCCACAAATTATAATTTTCTAATCTCTGCATCTTTGCAAGCTGGTGTTGTAGACTTTTGATATTTCAAGCTATGACTTATGTTAGATAATAATGTCTAAAGGAATTGAGTTGTTCACAAACTTATATTTCTAATCCCTATATCTTTGCTACCCAATGTTGTAGATATTTTAAACTATGAATTCTGTTAGATAGAAGAAAAGGATGAGTCTGCATTGCGTAAAAAAAAAGAAAAAATGCAAAAGTGGTTTGCCTTGCCGAATTTTAACTCATTATATGAAGTGTCCCAAAACATGTCTATTTTTAAGCTCGTCAAATACACGATGATAATTTCAAGTGATCCTCCATTTAAAGAGGGCCATGCTTGATTCCCAATAATAACGTGTATACCTACATCTGATTGATGATTTGAAAATTAGGAGTGTTTTCCTATCTTGTAAATGTATGCTGGACGTTCAGGGTGATTGATTTGTGACTTTTTTTAGAACTCAGCCAGCCGCCCACCTGAGGTCGCTGCGTTTCAAATTAATAAAAATATTGTAATAAAAAAAAATTCAATAGGGTTGCGAATTGACAATTTAATATTGAAGAAATCGTCGTAAGGCCTAAAAAAATATTTCAAAAAGTAAATATGATACATCTTTTTTTATAAATTTCATGCTGAATTCAGATTCGAAAACCATTTTTGAATATATTAAAATCTAAAGAAGTTATGTCCAAAAAACGGTACTAAATTCCGGTTGTAAAACTTTTTAATGTTTTTGATGAGTTTTTTAGCTCTGACTCACTCAATTTTCAATTTTTTTAAACATGAAATAAAAAATGAAATTTTTTTGTGGCCTTACAGTGAAAACGGAGCGACTTCCGGTGGGCGGTTGGCTCTTTTCCAATATTGATCACCCCTACTGGACATGCCACTCCATAAATGGAAGGTCATTTGAAATTACGTCTCTAGTCCCTTAAAGACCCACTTTGAGTTGAAAGTCTAATGCTAAAAACTTTCATAATGCATATTCTTCTACTGCACATTCTCTAAAAAGGTTAACAAAACAACTGCAACATACAGGATGAGTAAAAAAATGTAATTATCACGGAAAAAATCTTGCAATGCTTTCATTTAGAAACAATATTATTTTAATAAAGTGTAATGTTAGAAACATTAAGGCTTGAACATTTTAATACAAAGCAACGTATAGAACATTTTTTCAAATCTTTCTTAGAAACGAAACTAATTAACAGTTTTGATTGTCAGTTGTAAAAAAGTGTAACAAAAAGTTTTCACAATAACGTTTCGATAAATCGTAACGTAAGAAAAGGTGCATTTTAGTAAAATTTCTAAACGTAATTAAAAGAGTTTATATTGGAAAAGTTAAGATAAAACGTAACGTTAACAAAAAATATTCTTTGCACTGAAATGCATTGTAACGTACAGAACTATGCCCCAATGACGTTTTATTAAAGCAAAACGTTTGTCATCTTCTAGATCTTAAACTAAGTGAAAGTGTAACGTAAGGTCTCTGAAAATATTTACCTTGCATGAAAGTGGAACGTTAAAAAATTGTGGTTATATTACATAAGCTTTAACGCAACGTTGGGAAAGTTTTTTAAAACATCAAATGCAAAAGCGTAACGGAGCTTACTGTTTTTTTCAACAACATTTAATAAAGCTTAACGTTGTAAAAGGTATTCAAGTGCAGAAAATTCATTTCGTAACGTCACTCTATGCCATAAAATTTCATAATGTGCAACGTAACGTTTCAAACGTTAATACTTTTGATGAACACTATCGTAACGAAAGCTAAAATCTAGAAAAATCAAAACGTTGACATCTCTAACATTGTACTCTCTGTGCTAGTGTACACAGGCACTGTTACTTGGCACTTAATTTCCCGCTATATGAATATCTGCGAAAACCTTGATTGAACAAAGGTTTAAAGGGTATCATTCAAGATCGGTTAAGCCTCTCTATAAATGGAAGGTCACTTGAAATTACGCGTACAGTCCCTTTAATGTTTTATTTCCTGTAGGCTATCTGACAAACTGTTGCCTTGTATTGTCCTTGTTCTCCCTTCTCATCCTGGGCATTGGAGCAGGAGTTCACTCATACAGGACATTCATTGTTAGGAGGTAGGAGGAATCCAGGGTGCTTCGTGTCCCCGTATCAGGGGTGCATTTTTTTTAGAATTAACCCCCGGGCCGAATAAGGAAAAAATGATAAATTAGATATCTAACCACTTTTTGATATGTCTAGCCCAAAAATTCAATTGTTTACCCGATTAAGCGAAACATACCTAAAAAATAATTTTGCGCTACCTAACATCTGGAGGGAAAAATAAACCTAAAAAAGTGATATTTCAAGAATTATACACCAATGAATTTTATATGACCCGACATTTATTGCGTTACATGACCGATTCCCAATAGTACAATTTAAACCTGTTTCTGAGTAACAACAAGGAGGATATCGTTTTCTTCTATTTTGAAATTAATTCTTTCTGATTTCTTTCTAGTCTCTGCTGAACAATGGAATCCGCAATTCAATTTTCAAAATTGATTGAAAATGATAATATTTAGATAAAATTTTTTTTACATAATCTAAGGTGTGAAGAGGGGGTAAAGGGTCGGATTACTACTTTCGATTGAGGGTCGTTTGAAATACCGTACACAGCCCCTTTGATAACACAAGCGAAAATTCAAAGTTTGCACAAGTAATAAAAATTTCCAGATTTCTTCTAAAATTCCCAATTATAATCTGTTTCCTGTTTTAAGTAACTACGCCGGCATGTGTCGTCTACCACTGAGAGATATATTCTCTGAATCCACCATTATTGGCGCTACTGTCAGGGTAAGTGTTAGTATTTAATCTAATAAATACATTAAACATATTTTATTAACAATAATTCATCATAACCTTACTAGGTTGTAATTGGGCGTTTTGTTAATGGGTGTTTAGTACCCACTCGTACAAGGAAATGATTCTGTACTGTACTGTACTGTACTGTACTGTACTGTACTGTACTGTACTGTACTGTACTGTACTGTACTGTACTGTACTGAACTGTACTGTACTGTACTGTACTGTACTGTACTGTACTGAATTGTACTGTACTGTACTGTACTGTACTGTACTGTACTGTACTGTACTGTACTGTACTGTACTGTACTGTACTGTACTGTACTATTCTGTATTATACTGTACTATACTGTATTATACTATACTATACTGTACTGTACTGTACTGTACTGTACTGTACTATACTGTACTATACTGTATTATACTGTACTAAACAGTACTGTATTGTACTGTACTGCACTGTACTTTATTGTAGAAGATGATGGATGAAGAGTTGTACAGAGAAATGATTGAAGAACATGAGAGAGAGGAAGTGGAAAGTCTCCAGCTTCTGCCCGATTTAAAGGTAAGTCATAGAAGGGCCTTTATTCCCCCCCCCCCTTTTCGGCTGAATTTGGGGAAGTTAGTGATTTTTTCAGGGAAAATATTAATGATTTTTTGGTGTTCCAAATTTCGTTTTTATTTTTCCGAATTCATTAATATTCTGAAAATTATACACCTGAAGTCATAAAATATTCAAGGCTTTGAGTATGTCCCATTTTGATATTGAACGTACCTGCATCTCATTTCTAGTTTTCACTTATTCATTCGTTTAAGGGACTTTCGTTGCAAATTCTAATGGGCCTCTAGTTGCCCGATTCACAGCTGTAAACTTTAAACCTATTCTTGATCAGTAACACTGCAGATATTGTCGATTTTCTTGGTTTATATTGTTAACTTAGACAATTTCTTGTTTCTGTAGTAGAAATCCGCAAGTCACTTATATAGAAAAAAAACGATTAAAATAATAAATTTAAAAACGTGTTCAAAATAAGTTTAATCTTATCATTAACTTTATTTATGAGCAGATATCAAGTTGCATGACTAATCACGTATCTCATAAAATCATTGAAAAGTAGAGATATATTTGTAGTATAAAGTTATTTAGAGGCTTTATTTAAAATTTCAAACATACATGGGCAAAAATATAGTTCTATTTTTTTTAAATATCTTGTAGTTCTTTTTTCTAAAGTTCTTTAATCTTTCGTGTTTTCTTTCTATAAGTTGAATTTTAGTTAGATTTATAATTGTTAATTTTTAAATCTGTTTTTTTAGAGATCTTTCGAGTTCGATTTCGACATCGACGTTGAGGAGGAGAACTACGAGGTTGTAGAACTCCCAGAGCTCTTCATGGGAAGATACATGCATGATTTCCAGGTATACTGACAGTAGTAACTAGCAGCAAATAATAGTGGTTTTATTGTCGTCTTCATTATTCCTTCTAATTAAAGATGTTTTATTTTAAATTGATCTATTTCCATATTTGAAGACGGGTTTGTCCGATGTCCCTGGACAATTTATAAAGGGAAATTATTTGTGATAGGTTTCTGATATAGGGGTTTTATTTTTTTATTTTTTATGACATAACGGGTCATGTATATTTCCATAAAACTCGGGCTTATTTCAGCCGCATATTATAAATATTTTATAACATTAGATAAGTAACTATTATAACTAAAAATTATTTTTTCTAAAGTTGTTTTATCAATATTTTGAATAAGAAAATTATGGATATTTCAGGAAAATTACACCGTGATTATTGACTCTCTCCGTGACCGTTGCTACATCCTAGACCTAGACAGGACACTGGTTCCACCTCCAAGGTAATTTAGGGGTGTTTATTATCTCGAAAAATCATTTTGCTTCCCCCCTATCTATACCATTCATCAAAAATCACCCATCTCCTCTCCCCTCGGCCCCCACAGTAAGAGATGGATCGTTTCCACTTTTTTGAAAAACGATCGTTTCTTTTTAAAATCGACGAAGAATAAACGAAAAACGGACCGACCGTTTCTTTAACCGACCGTTAAATACGACTATTCGTTAATGACCGTTAACGACGACCCATCGTTAACGAGCATTTAAAGAGATAATACATTTTTTGAGGAAAAACTGAGGTTAGTAAACTTACAGGTTATTTATCTCAATTTAAAAAAAACATTTACGACCATATTCATAACCTTATCTCCCTAAACAGAAATTGAAATTAATTGTCTCGACTCAGATTCATTAGCGAGAAAAATTTTTCGTTTTCTAAAAGTTCAGAACGAGTGCGCGGTTCGTTTTCATAAACAATTGTTACTTTCTAAAAACGAAACGATCGTATTTTAAAATAAAATAAAAAATAAACGAAAAACGATACTTTTATCGATCGTTTTAAAAATGATTAACAACCCCCCTATCCACAGTGTAAGTATAAAGAGGGGGGGGGGGTTTGATATAGACTAATTATGATCAAAAATGAATAGTTAAGTTTTAAAATGTTTAACAAATAAGTTATTTAGATATTTTTTAACATTTTTTTTAATTGTTTAAAACGTTACATTAAAACAACTTTTTAATTTTTTAACCTGTTTAGGGACATGTTCGACATGATCGAGAAGATGAAGAGAGGGGTGTACGATGTAAACTTCCAGGAGATTAAGAAGGTATTCATTCATTTATTTATTTTTTAATTCATTCATTTATTAGTGTATTTATTTAATCTTTCATTTAATCATTTGCCCAATCATTTATCCTATAGTTCAAACTTGCAATTCCCATTCTTTTAATTCATCTTAAATCAATTTTATCATATATATACATATATTTATTTGTACTTCATTCATGTACTTATTCAACCTTTCATTCATTATTTCAATCCTCCCCATTGCATATCATTCATTCAAAATCTGTTCCCTAAAACCCAAGATAAAATTATAAATATTTTCTAAAAATTATCTTTCAATTTAAAGCGTTATTCTAAATAAACCATCAAAACTTAAATTCGCTAATTTTTTTTTTACGTCACCATAAAAACATTTACTTTTATTATTTATTTTTAATTTATTATTGTTGTTGTAGAATTATCGTAGACCTGCTGAGGAGCTACTCAACTTGAACGGTTTTGGAAACCTGATTATGCGCGCATGCGCAAATAAACAATCCTACAAGTAAGTTCACTCAAAAGCAATCGATCCGGAAAGAGGCGTAGTGAGGGGGGCGACTGGGGCTCAGCCCCTCCCCCTTGACCAGTGAAATCTATGAACTTCAGGGGGTTTTCAGGCCCCATTGGTTGCTGAGCTCCCCCTCTGGAAGAAAATATTACGCCCCCCCCCCTGGACAAATTCCTGACTACGGCCCTGAATCCGAATCAACTGGATTCACACACAGCCGGATCCGTGTCCAGTTTGAGAATCCGGATCAACAATATTCCTAGCCGGATTCATGTCATTTCTTAATGCTCATTCCACTTAATATACCCAAAAATTCATCAATTTCTCCCAAACCCTTGACAATTTTTTTTTTAAATCTCACAGATTGGAGACAAATATGTTGATGGGGGCCGGGGGGGAATGAATTATGATGATTTGGGGGGTATGATAGTTGGATTATTAAAAGGCAAGTTTTTCACGCTTTTTTTGATACTTCTAATCCAAAAAATCTATTATTTTATTATTTATTATTTTATTATTATTATTTTAGTGAGAGAAAAAAAACATATATAAAATTTACTTTTGGGGATAAATATTATTTTCTAAATAGGGGAGGGAACGATTTATTAGGAAAATATACACCCCTGCTTGAGGAGGGAGAGATCGTTTAAATTTAACAATTAATCATAAAATATTTTGTGTTTCAGGCTGGAGGAGCTGGTTGGAGATATCCTCGTAAAGAGGGATACTGGATCTGCAGATCTTGAGAAGTTTGGAGAATTCACTGGATCCTCAATCCTTCAGTACCATATTGTCAACCTAGACTAAACTCAGACTAACTCCGGCTCCGATTATTTAAAATGTCGTCTTTCAGTTGTTTAGTTTAGTCCGAGCTGGAAGGATTAAGACTTCTACACTCTGTCTACAGTCTTAATTAATAATTATTCCGCTTAACTTTACTGAACATTCTTAGGAGCATTCCTTTCGGGGCATACCAAGGAATGTACATCAGGAACACTCAATATCATGCTTACAAAGTAGTGTACTGCAATATTTTGTAAACAACGATATTAGGGCTCTAGGTGTTTTTTCTTTTGTCTGACAGTAAATGTATATTGTATTAGTACGTAAACTATTTTATTCCTACGTAAAGTACACGATAGCCAATTAAATTTCAAATTTTTATGAAAAATCGTAACGTGTAACGTATTGAGTTGGAAGTACCAGAGTAATAGTTTAATATTTAATCAAATATATTCATACAAAATTTACTGCACAACAAGCAGTAAAAAATATACTCTAGACATAGCCGACAAATAAATAAACTAAAATTCTATCTTTTAAAATATTTTAACCATATTTCGTACAAAGCAAATAAAATATTGATATTCTAAAAATTTCGGCACCTTAAAAGATTGTATATTTATCTAATTTAAAGATATAATCAATAAAAAAAATTTGTTGTAAAAGCGTAATATTATTATTGTTCTAGTGTAAAAATTGCAAACTCTATAATATTTCTGGCCACAATGAATACAGGTCGCTGGGGTTTCTTGGTTTCTAATTCAATTGTTAGTCTTAGTGGGATTGGTAGGGGGGCGGGGGGGATGAATAATCACTAGTCTTCATCTATTTTTCATCTTCAAACTTTTGTGTTATTACGCAAGAGATGAAATGTAATACAGACCATAGACTTCAGCCATTAAGTACAAAGAAAGCCACTTTCAGTTTCATTTATCCACTAGAGGCATCTAGCGACTGACTCCGACAATTACCTGTTTTACATCGAGTAGCCTGGTTTGGCGGATGAAAGTATACCGTATCACCACTGCCTTGACAGATATCACTCCGCGAACAAGTGGTAGTCCTAGTAGTCTTCTTTCCCATCCGGGCCGTGCAACATCAGTTCAGCTTCACAGCTGTAAACACAGTTCTAAATGATCCAGTGTGTCATAAGTTAACTCAGGGGAGTGAAGATGGCCAGTATTAGGCCTCCCCTTGTGGGAAAAAGATTTCTATCAGTTAGTAGCAAAAATCCGCTAAAATTATCTCGAATACATGAATGGGATTGGCAAGCTGGGTGGATCAGGGCTGCTAGTTCCCTAGATTCTTCGGACCAACAACTACAGGTTATTCAGGAGTAAAGATTTCGAAATATTGCGTACACAGAACGTATAAAGTATTTTGTTGAAAATAGTTTTAATGGTTTTCAATTAGACGTTTTTGAGAAATATCAGTTCACAATAACTTTATTTGATTTCTGTAACAAGAATCCTATCCTACTATTTTCATCATATTTTATATATTCTACTGTTCCATTCTATCCCTCCTAGATATTCTACTGTTCCATCCTATCCCTAGATACTCTACTGTTCCATCCTATCGCTATATATTCTACTGTTCCATCTTATCTCTAGATATTCTACTGTTCCATCCTATCCCTAGATATTCTACTGTTCCATCCTATCCCTAGATATTCTATTGTTCAATCCTATCCCTAGTTACTCTACTGTTCCATCCTATCTCTAGATATTCTACTGTTCCATCCTATCCCTAGATATTCTACTGTTCCATCCAATCCCTAGATATTCTATTGTTTTATCCTATCCCTAGATATTCTACTGTTCCATCCTATCCCTAGATATTCTGCTGTTCTGTCCTATCCCTAGATATTCTACTGTTCCATTATATCCCTAGATATTCTACTGTTCCATCCTATCCCTAGATAGTCTACTGTTCCAACCTATCCCTAGATATTCTACTGTTCCATCCTAATTCTAACAATTCCTTTATTCTAAAATTGTCGTTTGCAAACGCAGGATTTTGCGTAAATGTACTTTTCTAACAATTAACATTTTATAAACCCAAGTATTCCGTGATTTTAAATAAGTTGTGCCTTTTAAGGACTAAAAGAATTATATTAACACCCATATGTATCCTCATTATTAGAAACAAAGAATATTGCCTCTTTCTGAAAAGTTTAAATGGCTAACACCCTTTTTTTTTGTACACCTGTCATGTCATTATTTTATATGTTACTAGAGCAAAAGACAAATTCCAGATGGACTTGTATTAATTTGGACTGTATTTTCAATACAGTGATCTAATTATTGTATGAAAAGTTATCAAATTTATCAAGGATAAATCTAAAAGCCCCCGGTCCCCTTCCCTGGCTCAATCAAATAAATTGTGTTAACTATATCTAATTAACATCATTATTACATGAATAAATTTACAAAAATTTATATTAATATTAAGCATCAAATACATATAATTCAAATATACAATGTTGTATGGAGCTAGGATGGGAAAATTTCACGTCTCAAATTACAAGTTTAAATTCTCCACCAAGCGTTCAATAATACCTTAATTCAATTAGTGTTCAGAACAGTTTAAATCGTTTTGAAAAACGTTTTGATACCTGAAACAACTCAGTTTTTAAAGTTTTTTGGAAGACAAGAAAGGGAAACCTACTAAGGATGAGACTTTGGATACCCTTGAAATTAATTTATTCTGTCTTTTTCTTACCATTATCCGGATCCTTGCATGTGTACAGTATCCGGGCCCTTGCATGTGTACAGTATCCGGGTCCTTGCATGTGCACAGTATCCGGGTCCTTGCATGTGTACAGTATCCGGGTAATTATATCATATATTTAAAATTTTCCAGATCGTCATTTTTGTCTCATCCTTTGGGAGGAACCATTAACTTTTGAAGTCGATAAAGATTGAAAACTAGTTGTAAAAAGATTTCCAGAGGAGAGGAATTCAGCCCCAAACTTTCCTCCTTTGCAGGACTTGGCCTAAAATCGGTTGAAAATTAGAAACAAGACCATTTCGCATTTTTATAAATTAAATTTTTTTTAAATGTCTTTTATTAAAAGATAATCAAATATGCGTATTTTCTATACTTTAATTACGTAGATTTTACCAAGAAAGAAGAAAATATTTAGTATTTAAAATACAAAATTAACAGTAGACTTTCAAGTTCAATAAGCAAAATGAGTATAATTAGTTTTTAATGTTTTCAAATAGGTGAACAAATTTTTTTAGCCTTTGAGGTTATTTAAATTTGGATTGTAATTGTGGTTGTTCAGTCCTTGGAAAGTTAAAAAACTTGCAAAAATTCTATGTTGCCTGAAAACAAAAGTTGCCCAAGCTAATTGCTTCAGCATGACGATGTTTCAACTATTTGGGTCATTCTATTAAAGTACTAGGCTTTACTGCAGAAACTTTTCTGGGTCGCGGTAATTATTTTCCAATTCCTCGGTTTTTATTTGATTTTTTGCTCTCAGCTCAACAAAGAAGAGAAGTCGGACGGGCGGCGGCGGAATGTTTTCCGCAAAAAGTTTCATTCAACCTTCAAGGCTTTCCCTTTCCTGTACTTCTTTGTCCTGATTTCCCTTTCCTGGGCTTCTTTGTGCTGATTTCCCTTTCCTGGACTTCTTTGTGCTGATTTCCTTCCGTTAAGTTTATTATGACGACAACGATTTCCATGTACTTAATGTTTCAACATTCAAATTTATATATATAAAGTTGTAATCTCTGTTTGTTTGTCTGTCCGATCATAACTATTGAATCCCTTTGCTAATTTTCCCAAAATGTTCACTTAGGAGCTTGGTCTAAATTGACCAGGTTGAATATTTTAGAGAATGTTTAGTTTTTAGGCAAAGCTGGGTTCCCAAGCTAGTGTTTTTATAAAACTAACTTTGAAACCCAGCTTTGCTTGGAACTAAGTTTTCCCCATAAAATCAATCTGTTAAACTTTTAAACCAAGTTCCCAGGGTTCTGCCGAGTTACCTAATCAAATTTGAGTTCTGATTCAAGATACAATTTACACACAAACAAAAAAAATTTCCTTATTTTTTGGTTTTGTGTCTCCAAAAAACTTTTTAAAAGCCAAATTATGGGCTCAAATTTTTTTGAGAACAAATGAACCTAGGGAATGTTTGTAAAAAATTTAAAATTTGAACTGAAAAATATTTTGTATTCTGAACTTAAAAATTCTCATCCAAAATTAAATAAAAAAAAAAACTATCAACTATCAGTATCTGAAAGTCCGGATTTAGAATTTAATGAATTTGAGCCTCGTCTCAAATCCGCCAAAACCGGTTTCAATTGAGCGCTAGCTTAAATCTGGAAACATTGAATACAGTTTTAAGTGGAACCAACCATATTTGAGCCGCGTCCCAAATGCTTTAAATTCGGGCTCGGGAATAATTGTTAAATAACATCACTATTGTCTAAATATTTCGGCTTAGATTTACCTATGAAACCTTAGAAAGAGGTAAGAGCTCTAGAGTCATATCCTCTTTATTCAAAATATTATTGCAGCTAACTGCATCCGTCAAACTTCTATTAAGTGCATTTTTCAAGAAAAATATTTATTGTTTTTTAACTTTGTTTTTTTTCAACTTTGTTGGTCAGTTTTGATTTATGTGAGGCCAGTTGTATGTAGATTTCAGTAACGGCTTTAAAATATTCCTGAGGGAAATAATTAAAGATTTTATGTTCAGGCATTTTGGTAATTTTTACGTTATCACTTATCAACCTTAGGGTAGGAGGGTGTCCCTTTTCAAACCTTTAAAATGGAATAGCTGTTTTTGTACTTTTTCCATTCTTAAAAGTCGAATTAAGAGAACTGTAAGCAAGCACCCTTGTTGCGCCCAAAATTTACCCGGGAGGTGGGATCCACATCCACCACACTTCCAATATTCCATTACACTCCACATCGACCAAACTTCCAATATTCCATTAAATTCCACATCGAACACACTTCCAATATTCCATTAAACTCCACATCGACCACACTTCTAATATTCCATTACACTTAACATCACCCACACACTCAACTCCTCCTGAACTCCACGCACAGAACCCTACTCCATGCACTATATCACACATAAATTAAATACTATTACTCCTCAGGCCTTCCCAATTCCAAGCAAATTTCTTCATGCCACACATCCAAAATTCTCAAGAATTTAAAATTTACGCTTGTTCCTTTAGTTTCCGTTTTGCTCTCAAACAAATTCCTCCCCCCCCCCTCTCAATGTCAACTTAAAGTGCAATAATTTTTTGTCTTTCACCTTTAAATTTTTGTATTTACAACTATTTTATTTTTAATTTCCTTTCTCTAAACCTTTCTCTGATATCAATTTATTCCAATTCCATCTTACCTATCTACCCCCTCCTCCTTCTCTCTAATCTCTAGATTGTCCTTAACACAAAGAGATTGAATTTCCAGGGTACTCGGATTAGCTGGAATTCTATTTCAGTAATGCTGCGATTTTTTTCTGTATTTTTTTATCCTGCCATTAAACCTGCAACCTTCC